TCTGTCTGTCTGTCTGTCTGTCTGTCTGTCTGTCTGTCTGTCGTTTATTCATTCCGTCCGTCCGTCCGTCTGTCTGTCTGTCTATCTATCTATCTATCTATCGATCTATCGGATTGGATCAAAAGAAAAAAGGATTCTGAAGGTGGATTAGATCACAAAATCCAAGCTTGGTTTTGATTTACATCAAATCATCAGTTTGTTTAGTTTAAAACATTTTAGTAAAACTTTTTAGAGAATGCAAAAGCAATGACATATTTTTTTTTTCCATCTCATATTTTTTCCCCATTACCATGTCCCTTTAGGGTTTCTGTAGAGCACTACTAATCCAGATTTGGTAATCTGAAAAACTTTGTTTCTGGATCATTGTGATCCAAAATGTCCAATTTTGCTTTGAAAAACCAGCAGAAAAGTAAGATGGATTACCTGATCCTGGATAGCGAATTTCCAAATCCAGATTAAGCTTTCTGCAAAACTGGCCTCAAGAGACCAACAAAACTTGTTGCATGTTGCTTAATGTTACTAATTAGAACATGATGCTCACAAAGACCCTGTATACATGAAGATTATTATGTGATAAATATTTAAATGGTTAAATTATAACATTATACGCAGTATCTAGACCCAATGTCTGATAAATAGTGAAACTGATAAACGTGAGCGATATACCACGTGTGTGTGAGAACAGAAGGAGAAGCGTGTTTGTGTGTGTTTCATCATTCCCCAAAGCAAGCCGCTGCACGTGAACAGTCCACAGTCATTTATTGTGCTAACATTGCTCCTGGCAAAGCATTGGCACGCTTTATACAGCTCAGACCCGTCGCAGTAGTTCAGGCACCATCACTGCACAGCAGATGCTCCATCGATACACCAGCAGGTCTATAGATCCACCACACGCTGGCCTGACAAACACAACTCCCATAGTGAACAGAGACCGCCTGGGTTTGCTTGATAGACTCATAGATGGACAGATAGAGCACACTGTAACGAAGAGATGTGAATGGTCAGATCCCAGTGGAGGCTGTGGGCGTCTGCGAGGCCCTGCCCTCTTCACGGGCATGTGGTTTTGTATACAGCGCTTGCTTCTGCAGCTCCAAGTCATGGCTGTTTCGCAGTGATGTTTTGCAGTATGGTGTTATAGTTGGTGTCATGTTTTGGGCTTGATGGCGCTGAGGTGCAGGACAGAGGAATTCTGGGTAGTGCTGAGAATTATAGTGTCGGCTCGCTTGCACTGCTACTGCCCGAGAGACGCGTAGCGCAACAGCGGGATCCTGTGGTGAGTTCTGAGCATGTAAGATCTATTCACTCTTGTTTGTGAGTTTTTGACTTGTTTTCCATTTGATCATGATATTCTGACTCGGTTGTTCCTGAGGCGTTTGTTAATGGCCTTGAGTTTGACAGCAATACATTACTTTGGGTTTCCAGTCTGCCTCAACTTTGCTGTTGTTGTCATGGTTGAAATGTTTTTTTCGTTCGTTTTTTCCTCAACTCATAACTCAAGAAGAGTTTTTGTCTCATCAGTTTTCTTGGTATTTAAAACAATAGTTCACATTAAAAATGAAAATTCCGTCATTATTTACTCACCCTCAAACCTCAAAGTTTATGACGTAGACTGAAATGTAAGTCATCATTCAGTGAAATCCAGACATCCGTCCAAGCTCTTCTCAACACATTAATGAAAGTAGAAGGCCAGTGAACAGTGACTTTTGGTTTGTTCCTAGCACAGCTAGCATATGGATTCAAAGGGTTGGGAAATATAGCGTATTAATTGTATAGTCTACTTTTATGGTGCCTTTATGTCCTTTTTGAAGCCTGAAAACTCTCCAGTAAATGATGACAGACTTACACATTTATGGGTGAACTATCCCTTTAAGGCTGAAATTTGTTAGATGTTTTTTTTAAACTCTGAAATTTGAACTGAAATTTAGATCATTATTCTATGATCATTTTGAAATTTGTTGTCTATTTATGTGTGAACTTTACGCTTTCTGGTAAAAACCTACGCTTTTTTCAAAAACCTAAATCACTTCTCTTTTGTCAGTAAGACAATATAAGAATAATGTATTCATTTTTAGAATCATTTATTCAAGTGTTTCGAAAGACTCCTGTTGTCTTGTTCCTGCAGTTCTGCTCGTTTGCATCGTGTTTTGACTGAATGTGCAGTTTGTTGCTTCACAGCAGGTTCTCTGTTAGAGGACTGTGTGATCCTGAGCGCAGCTGTAATGTAGATGTGCAGATGTTTTAGCAGCTCACAGTTATGATAACAGCAGTTCACACTCAAACAGAGTCTGTCTCCCTCCACTTCACAGATTCAGCAAACATGGCAATCACTGAAGAATGTTAGTGTGTGCACTTTAATGAAGACTAAAATTGTGATATCCATAGTGATGTAAACCTAATCAATGTTGTGTTTTTGGTTTTGGCAGTTTCGCTACAAGAGGCGAGTGTATACACAGACACACCTGGATGAGAAACAGCTGTCGAAGCTTCACACTAAGGTAAGACAGGAGTGTTAGCCTCTTCCTGTACCCACAATGCATCTGGCTGATCTGCTTTCACTACAGACACACATTTTTTTTAAAAGTTCAGTGGCTACTAAAGTTCCCTGATGTTATGATTCAGGTTTACATTAAGGTGGTGAAACATGGCACCTGTTACTTTTCTCAGCGCTGAACCCAATCAGTGATTACATGATGGGGGATATTTTATAGAGAATTCTAATTTATTCTTCAGGGAGAAATCATTCTAATTAATAGATTTAAAATAATGTTGTTTTTTGTTGTACCTGTGTCTCAGATTAGACTTCATCAATGTCAATATTCAGGTTTAAATTAAGATGATGTCACATGGTATCTGTTACTTTTCTCAGCGATGGACCAATCAGGGATTACGTGATAGAGATTCTACATGATGGGAGATTACTGGCAAATTTTAATTTGTTCTTGATGATGGGGATTTTTATATAATTTCATAGTGATTTCTGTGGCAAATTTCTTCAGTAAGAAACCATTCTAATCAATGCAATAAATGCTTTTTAGTTGTGCCAGTATCTCAGATTAGACATCCTGATGCCATTATTTAAAGTTTAAATTAAGTTGATATCACATGGTAGCTGTTACTTTTCTCAGAGCTGGACCAATCAGTGATTACATGATGATACATGATTTTTACATAATTTTCTGGAGATTGCGGTGACAAATGATTTTTTTTTTCTTCAGGAAGAAGTCGTTCTAATTAAAAAAAATAATAATTTTTTAAATGCTTTTTAGTTGTACCTGTGTCTCAAATTATTTCGGTTTAAATTAAAGGGTTAGTTCACCCAAAAATGAAAGTTCTGTCATTAATTACTCACCCTCATGTCGTTCCAAACCCGTAAGACCTTCGTTCATCTTCAGAACACAAATTAAGATATTTTTGATGAATTCCAATAGTATCCAGCTGCAGACCCGCAGCACCAGCAGTTTCAGAACCGCAGCCACAGAACCGGAAGTGAGGGGCGGAGCTTACATTTTTTTAACAGAGTAGCGCCACCTTACGGTTTTTAAGGGGTAATTTGCTTTTAGTACACACGATACGTCATACTTTATGTATGTATGCATTTTATAATGACATATTAAGCATTTTAGAAGTACACAGGTAAACTATTATGCAATAATAAATAGTGAGTACATTAAACAAACAACTCAAGATATGCATACCTCTACAGACAACTGCATGTTGAAGTGGATTTGAAGATGACTTATTCATTTGACCAGTTTGGCTGGCTTAAACATGCTGGTCAAGCAGAAAATTGCTGGTAATTGCTGTAACACTTGTTGCACTGCTGCAGCTCAGGTAATGTGTCAACTCTCTGAATCCTTATATGTCTCTACAAGAGATGAAGCCACACACAATTATCTCAATGATGACAAACTGGATTAAAATAACTAAACTACAAGGTAATATTAACACACAAACAATGCATATAACAGAGGGAATTAAAGCAAACGATTTATTTTTATGAATAATAAACGTCTTCAAAACTTCACCACAAGGCCCATTTACAGCATGCATCCAAACATTAATCGAAACATCCACAGAAAAAAGTTATATACTATAAAGTATTATCAACAAATTCAAGCTTCAATATAAGATAATAAAGCCAAGCACACATTAAGTACTTAGCAGATAAATGCTTAAAGTAATATATACGATAATTATTAAACATATGATAGCAAAAACATTGCAGACTACTCACCCTGCTCTCTCATTGTCAATAACTCCGCCCCTCGCTTCCGGTTCTGTGGCTGCGGTTCTGAAACTGCTGGTGCTGCGGGTCTGCAGCTGGATATATCTCATGAATTCTGAGAGCTTTCTGACCCTGCATAGACAGCAACACAACTGACACATTCAAGGCCCAGAAACGTAGTAAGGACCTCATTAAAATAGTCCATGTGACATCAGCGGTTCAACCCTAATTTTATGAGGCTACAAGAATACTTTGGGCAAAGAAAACAAACATAACTTCTATTCCGTGTTCTCGGATTTCATCAAAAATATCTTAATTTGTGTTCAGAAGATCGCCACCTATCGCCCTGCAGAGGACGTTTGTGCCTTAACGGTTATTAGCTATAGTCACATCTGCGGCCTAATGGTTCCTGGAATGCTGAAGATGTTGAGGTGTCATTGAGCTGTTTAGGTAGATGATGATGATGATGACGGTAATCATCAGAAGCATGAAGCTCTGGAAGCTTTTACATGACCGTAACCTCCTCTGCTCTTCACAGATCAACAACACTTCTCATAAGCACACACCGTGATACGCTGCAATTACCAGCCAGTCTAATCAACTCCCCTCTCATCATGTTAATGCTGCTGTTTTTGGCCCGTCTGGCCTCCACGAACGAGATCTCCTCTCATCTCTCCTGGAGAGTCAGAGTTATGGCCTAAATCAAAATGAGCCATTAGCGTAATAAATGTAAATCAATGTTGGCTTCGTACCAATTTCGGCATCATCATGTCAGTTTGAATCCTCTATTCCATTCAATTAGACGAGAGCCTTTCTTTAGGCGATAATACCACACGTCTGACAGCGTCACCCTGTGTGTGAACGTATTACTACGGTGAATGAAATGAAAAAAGTCTTAATCAATGAATAATCCACACTAGTGCTTATTAAAGGGTTAGTTCCCCCTAAAATTTAAATTCTGTCAGCATTGGTTCACAGTTATGTCATTCTAATGATTTTTTTTTATTATTCACTGGAATACAAGTGGACATTTTTAGCAGAATATTCATGGTGATCTTTTGTATATAATGAAAGTAGATCTTGATACTGTAAGACCTATAAACACTGAGGGCACAAATATTAAGATTAGAGCTTGAACAATATGGGTTTTCCAATTCTTTTATAATTTTGTCTTGAATATTAATTTGCATTTTTTGCTCTCAAGCTCCAACAATTACAAATAAGCATCATGAAAGTACCATTAAAATGTTCTGTATTCTTCTGAAGCCGTATAATAGCTTTGTATGAGGAACAGACCAGAATTTAAGTTGTTATTTACTGATAATGCTTGAAACTTTTCTTTAAAACTTGGTTTGGGTACAGTTTTAGCAAATTGATTCATTTGGATGGTTCATTTTAAAGAACCTGTTCAAATTCTTCTGTCATGTAAACAAAATCATTTTAATAGCAAAATTGTGTGGTTTTTTTTATTTACACAAATTGTCCTGTTGAAAAGTTCTTTAAAAGTTTGTTTCTCCTTTTGGGGTTTCTGATTGTTGTTTTGTAGAATTCTTCTTCAGTTGTCCTTAGAAAAATGGATGCTAGCTGTGAGATTTTTATATGGTTATACAAATTATTCTTATATAGAAATCACCCCCCCCCCAAAAAAAAAGAAAAGAAAAGAGAAAGAAACTGTTCCAGTTTTACATCTGTGTACCTCTATGATTACCTTTATATATATATATATATATATATATAATAAATTACATATATATTATATATATATATATTTATAAAATAAATTACATAAATTAAATCTATATTATATATTATATATTTGTTTAATTTAATTTAATATTTTATTTATTTATTTATTTATTTTTTTGGCTTGGTATAGCCATGGCAGCCATCTTATTCTGGTTTAGCAGTACGAATGCAGTACATAGAGGTAATTACTAAAAAAGTATATAAATAAATGCAATGGTCAAGCAAACAACTTCACAATTTTGGACCCCTTGGGATGGACTGAATCATATATTGCACCTTAATATAAGAAAAGTTACAAATAGTTTGTGATAAAGTTTGGCTGAATCACTAAAAAGAGTCTTTTTGAAAGAGTCTTTCTGAAGTATCAGACATCACTATTTGTTTTTGGTTTGTTATTGTTTAGTGTGGCACACTGATATTGAGGATTGTGTGTAAGAATTTGGAGCGGGCATATTCCTTGGCACTCTTTAAGTGGCGCCTACACTGATTTCTCTTCCCATTTGTCCATGCCATCGTGGTTCACTGTTGCATTTCTGTCATTATGGTTTTGTTGTTGTGAAATTGTGGGGTTTTTTGACGGGCCATGCCATTTAGCTGCTGGACTGCGCCATCTCCTGCTCGCATGGGGTGCCAGTGAGGGCCGTAATCTGCTTATATATTGACATTGTTTCATTTGTTGTACTGACCTCTCCTGCTGGGTGCACACACTGATGATTAAACATCTACAAATACACGTGCCTGCACATGCTCGCAATCCCACGCACATATGAACTGTCAATTTGTGGCACAGCCGTGTATGCAGGGGCTGTGTGTTCAGGTCAAGCATTAGCCTAGTTTTCAGTCATTCACTCTGTTTTTACTGAGCCAAGATGAAACCTAATGCACTGTATATGTGTGTTTAGTGAAGCCTGGAGGTCAGAGATGGTCATATGACTGACGGTAGAAAGATGTCTGTCTTTAGCAGAGACAAAAAGCCCTCAGTGCTGAAGCAGCTGATGTTAATGTGGAAATGAGAAGTTATCATTGCATTACTGAGCTCATAAAGATGTGTACAGCTCAACCCCGGCCAACCCCATCACAGTCTCACCTAAGCTGCATTACAGAGCTGGCAGGACACACTGCAGGCCCAGCTGTGTGTTAGCGAGTTCTGCTCTCCAGAGAACGAGACGAGGAGGAGGAGAGGAAGAGAACTAGAACGTGTAGACAACAGCCTCCTGATGCACACAAACACACTTTACACTGTATTTGCAACATGCGTATTTCCATCTATCTATCAATCTATTGTCCGTCCGTCCGTCTGTCATTCTGTCTCTCAATCTCTCATCTTGGCACTAAAGAATCAGTTCATAAGAGTCAATTGTTTGTGAACTGGACAACACTGGTGACACTATGTAGTTTGCTGTTGTGTGCAGCCTGTGAGAACAATAGAAAGATGTGATTTTTTTTTTGCCATTATTTTTTTATTACACACCCTTCTTATCTGTATTTCATTCATTCATATTTATTAAACTCATTCATACGTTCCATAGCTCACTCATCCGCTAACTCATTTTTCACTGTCTGTATAAACTGAAGGGTGTTGTACTGGTGAGTGTGTTGAATGTTAAAATCTGATATCTGAACTGCTTCTTTCTTTCTGACATTCACCCCATTCCTCTCAGACTGTGTGTGTGTGTGTGTGTGTGTGTGTGTGTGTGTGTGTGATACTGAAGTCTCTGGATCCACCTTGAGCTAGTACATGTTTGGAGCTGCTTGTTTGGAGAAACGTGTTCTGGCTGCTAACTCGTGTCAGTGTACAGGGCCAGTGTATATCTGTCTTGCACGTACATTCTTTCTTTTCTTGTTAAAAGTAAATGTGGCATGTTTACCTTGTGCTCTCTGCCTCACCTTTATCTGATTCAACCGCTCAATGTCTCTCTACACATCAGTCCCTCATTCCTGATCTACAGTCATCTTCCCTTTGACTTCCACCTTACTCTTCTCCTGCCACACCTGAGGAAGCTCATTACTGACAGTCAACCTCCAGTGCAGAACACTCGTCTGACTCATCCCTCCATGAGACAGACAGAGAGAGAGAGAGACAAATTAAATGAGCTGAAAGATGCAGCGAATGAGATAATCTCTTATATATACTGTGTTTGTCCTCTTAGCCCAAAAGAGGCCCGGTTTCATTTGATTGTGTGTGTTGTGACACATAAAGCAGCTTCATTTTCTGAACCAGTGGTTCTCAACTGGTGGATCGTGACCCAAAATTGGGTCTGCAAACTGCACAGAAAAACGAATGCTAAATGGAAATAATTAAGTGCTGTATTAAACCAACCTTATCGTTGTGCTTAGTTAGGGTTATAAAATAGTCCTATAACTTTTAAATGGGAGGTGAGAACACTTAATGTATGTTTTGACATTGATGTCAAAGGATGCGTATCCAATTAAAGTCTATAGTGCATTGGTCCCTGCCCACTTTTTCAGAGTTACTATATGAGCAATGAACCAAACAAACCAGATACAGAATCACAACACTGCAAACTTGTATTTAAACCAAAAAAGTATTTGAAAATCGTACAAAAAGGCAACATTGTGAATTTAATGGCTTTACTAAGGGGAAGAACTGCAATCCCATGAAGTGTTGCAGGTGACATAATTGAATAGAAAACTACACTTATGTATATAGAAAGAATATATTTTCTGTTTATTGCAATATATAGTTTTAGAGTGTAGGGAGACTTTTTATTGGTGGAGATTTCTTTACAGAATCAAGGGTGACGTGTAGTTTTTCGTCAGGAATTCATCTGTTAAAAAATATCTTGAAATAATGAAACTGATGGTTTCAGCAAAAGCATATATAATCAATTAGCCTACTATCTTTAAAGGTTTATAAATTATTATTAAAAATCCTCCTATGGAGAAAATGAATGGGATTTTTCCTTCTGGAATCCAACTACTATTTTATCATTTTCATCTGTCAGCTGGTAGAAGCCAGATAAATTAGACAGATGCTAACCATGAAACAAACAAAACTGAAATGATATTAAGAAACAAAAATTGTCAAATTTCCTGTTCAGTCTGTGTCATAATTAGTGTCATAATACATTTTTGCAAATTGTTGGACCTATTCAGTTCATAGTAATATTATTACTTTTTAATGTTTGATTTTAAGGACTTTTTGTTTGCACAAAACCAGTTTAGAATTACTGTGCTAAACTCTGTTGGAGTTATGATTATTATCGTTGGATGTCTGTCATTTCATCTAGTGATTCAGATGGGTTTAGGCAGAGTTGGGCAAAGATACATCAAAATGTATTTTAAAATAAAATACCAAATACCTTAATTTTAAGTGTATCAAACATAAACTAAAAA